AGTATAAGAAAATAATTGTATTACAGTGATATAGAGAGGTAACACTGTTATAGATTTATAATGGATATGTTTCAAGATAGTGTTACCATAAACTACTTATATGATTATCATTATATAATAATTTTATTATAAAAAATGATAGATTGATAGTAAATTTGAAAGTTATCAAGTAATAAATGAGAGAATATTATTAAAATTATATCAATATTTGGCGGGTTTCCGTTTATGCACGCTGCGTCGAAAGTTCTACAATAGATCTGAAATTTCTGAGCCGTAAACAGTATGCGAAAATTTCAGGGAAGTTTTTTATATTGGCTCAGTCTGCAAATTTTGAAACGAAATCAATCATATGAAAATGACATACGATAAAAGGCAATTGTTTTAATTTTTAAATTTCAAAAAAAAAATTTCATGAGGCAGCGAAAAAATTTAAACTATTAGATATCTACGCTAGATTTTATACAATTCTTCGTTACAGAATGAATTTCCGAACACACTTAATTACAGCGAATAATTTTCAAACGATCTTCTATATTTTCAGTTTGCGCAGTGTACAATTTTTGATCGTGCTACAATTTAGAACTACTCTCAACTGTTGTTGAATTATTTCATTTATATTACTCTTAAATTTATTAATTTTCTGTAGTTGAACTTAGAATTATACATACATATGCCTTGATATCTGGCAACATTAGAAATTAAAAAATAATGATTTTATAGTAATTTTGTTGTTCAGAAAATTTTAATAATTTTTTTTACAATAAATTTAGTAAATTTTTTTTTTAATATTAAAGCGGCAATTTTTAAAAAAAAGGTCTACATTCTCTTTGAATACTAAACAAATGACTCTTGATCATATTTTTATGGTATTTTTTATAGCATTTCATAAAAATTAAAATATTGTTAATATTTTAATAATTTTTTTTTTGAGGTTAAAAAAGTGGTTACAATTAGTTTTTCTAAAGGTGTGCTTTAATTTTGTGTAATACATTTAACACATTATTATTTATAATAAATCATGATGAATTTATAATAGTGATAATAATATATTTAAAGAGTTTATTAAATTTTATAGTTATTAATTAATATAATAAGCACAAAAAGCTGTTGTAAGTAATCATAATGCTATATTGTAATAGCTCTCAATTAACAATTTTTTACTGAATATGAGAAATAATATAATATGACATTGAAAATTTTATTTAAAATTCATGTTTTCTTAAGATTTTAATATAAAATTAAAATTTTAAAATCCAAATTTTAATGTAAATATTGTACTACTTTATTTAACAATAACATTTTTATTATAAATTATCAAATATTAGAGATTGCATGGATTATATATTCATGAGCTTGGTACAATTTGTCTTGTTTTACAAACTCATACAGCAATAATCTTACTTAAAACTTAACTAAATATTTTCCAAACATTGAAATGAAATTTATCTTAACATTATTAACTAAAATTTTGTTAATCAAATTCTTTAATTACTTAGCATTGAATATACGTTCTATAGATTCAAAGCTACGGTACGATGATAAATTCTACGGGAATATAATAAAAGCCATTTAACATTGCATATTCAAAATTAATATTTAAGATATGGTAGAAGTTAACAACAATATTACTTTACAGTCATAAATTAAACATTTTAATTTATGACTGTAATAATAAAAAAAATTTAACATTTAAGAGATTCGCGGAAAAATGTTGTGGCTCTCTAACTTAAAAGAAAACATGTAATACGATGGTGACATTTTTTAAAATTTTGATAATAAATATCGCTCGCTCTTTACTTTATAAGTGTTATAACGAATATTGTCTTATAAACTACATACATATACAAATAACATACTTCTTGTAGGTAGCACAACAATGTTGTATGATTGTTATTAATTGCAAACATGTATTTTTTTGTTATGTTTGAATAAAATAATAAATTATATAATATGTTCCAAACCATTTACAAGACCAAAATGTTAGGTAAAAAAATTTCTACGTTAAATGTGTATTACAAATATGTATCACTATTGATACAATTAAATATATTAACGTACCTAAAATTAAGAAAATTATAAATTTTCATGTAGAATTATTTTCATGTAGAATTGCATTTTATTTAAGATATATTGTGCCACTCCTCTGAGTGCGGGGCACACATTACACATGCGGGAACTCGAGCGCCCTGTGAGGTCTGCGATATCCCGTGAGGTTAAAACCGCTCCCCTCCCTCCGGGAGTGTATCACACACTCTCAGAAGGTCTACTTATTCTTCCCACAGAATCTTTATGTGTCCCACTTCTGATTCTTTTCCTATTTCTTACATCGCTTCTGGTCATCAGCAGTTCCTTGGCCTGCCTTCACCGTTCTGACTGCCTTCTCAGACATTTACAAAGAAACAAACATCGCAATATCTATTGCATTATATATTAATTTCTAACTCTTCTCTCACACTTACTTCTTATAAGTACATAATATTTTTGTCTTACATCTCTTAGTACGCGGTCAAGTTGTTAAAAATAATGTCTAAAAAGAAAATTTAATCTAAATATTAAAATAAGATTTTTTCTCTTTTTAAATTTGGAAACTTGTAAATTTGTCCTTGTTTGTATATTACAACTCATGTATCTACATTTTACACCCAAACACATATTTCGTATAAATTGTGATCACATTCCTTTTTTAAAAACATAATTTGCAACATTTATACATTAAAATAATAAATTATTTAACAACTTCATATTTTAATGTTCCAATTTATTTTTATGAGAATATTAAAAATTTGAAATTTTTTCAAAATATATATTTCCAAGCTATATATGTACTCGTATGTATGTATGTTAATTAATTTGTTAAAATGATTAAAAAAATATTAAAAGCTATTAATCCTCTCATTATTACTTCATCATTTTAAATGTCACCAATATAAGTAACATGGTTTAGCCGGGAAAAAGCAAAGACGAACAAGAAAAACAACAACAAACAAATTTAGCTTCCAGGTATAAAAAATCTTAATAAAAAAAAATTAACTTTATTTTATATTCTCAATTTAATAGAAACATTATAAATAATTTATTATTAAGATCTAGTAGCACTTTTATTGAGTGGCTACTTCAGATAAAAGTAATGAAGTGAATTCACAATGTTATACTTTATATACACAACTTTGTTCATGGTTATATTAAGCAAAATTTTAACCATGTGTATAAATGAAAATTAAGCAACAAATCAAAATATAGTTGATCTAGTACTAGTTTATTCTCAGATATATTTGCAAAAAATTTATTAAATTAATACAAAATTCTTATACTCTAAATTAAATTAGCGCAATTACAATTTCGTATTTTAATACAATTTTTAAAATTGCGCATTTGTAAAGTAATTAATATTTGCAAGTTTGATTGCGCCCAAAATATTGAGCAATATTTACACTTTTACCAAATGAAACCATTGGAATTGAATTAAATCACCTTCAATATAAATTTAGAATTCATTATAATGATCTCTGAATAAAACTTGAATAAAAGTAAATATTACAATTTAAAATTATATTAACTACTGAAATTTAATAAAACTCAACGGCACACTTTGAAACAAACCACATATGCAGGCACACAAATCTATAACATCTTAATTTAATTTTAAGCTAATAATGTTTCAAGAAAGAAGAGAATTTTTCGAATTTAATATTATAGAAGCGAAATTGTGTTTTGCATTTTTCAATCAACAGGAAGCGTTCTAATTAAGCAAATCACTTTTTTGAACCCACTCGCAAAACGAAATCAAGTCTATTAGATTTAAAAGCTTTCGCACATGCACAGAAATTCCAAATATTGTAAAAAAAACTATGCTCGAATATCTTATACAATTTACATATGCATATTATATAATGCGCATGTCACTTGTACTTTTCTATAGCCTTTTTTCCTACATTTACGGTGAATTTAACATGTTAACGTTCAGATAACGCACTAAATATAAAGTGGTTTTAACAATAAATTCGTGCTACTGTTGAGAAGTGACCATAAATTTTTTTTTGCTAGTAAATTTTTCGTTTTTTCTTTGTAAATTTTCAGCAATCGCATTAATTTTTTTATTTATTTTTTATATTATTGAAATCATGCAAAATCATACCTTTTGCAATTAAATTGATTGAATTGAATCACATTTTAAACGGTTCACTTATTTTATTTGACTATATGCGCTGCTTATGGTTTTATGTTTTTTTAATATTGATTTAAGTTATGATTTTAGTATTCCCATTTCATTAATGTATATAGACAGGAAAATCGTAATGATAATTGAAAGTGCCTGCACACTTGTTTTGAGTAACACTTAAAAAATTAAAATAAGAAATAAAATATAAATTTTAATGCAGGTAGGTACCTGCAGATGTACTATGTCAAATAACCGTGAGATAATTAAAATCAATCAATGAAATGAATTTCAAAATTCAGTCGCGATATGGAAACTTATTCAAATACTGAGAAAATACCCAATTCAAAAATCAGGTTCAAATTACAACTTTTCAATAAAAAGTTTAACAAACAAGGAATGCCAAAAGAAATAGTATTAAAATATTGAAATCTGGATTACGAATTGAACGATCAGAAGGAAAATCAACGATCTGAATGAAAATTCGCAAAATACAACAATAAAAAATATGCCATTAGATTTCTACGTAAAATTCTGGAATTTGATAATACTATACGTAAGGCAATTAAGAATTCGATTCAATCAATATTCCTGTGCATTAAACAATTCGATTTGTTCTAATTACTTCTTAATAGAATCAATTGCTTTCTGTTGCAAATGCTTCTTATAAAACTTATTAAATGTTTCTTTTAAAACTGGACCGGCATTAAATAAACTAAGCAATAACTTTCAAAATTACTTGATTTTCAAATGAAAAATTAAATTTTTGTATTCCTAAAAGGAGAACTCAGAAATTATACAATGAAAACAAAATTAATTTAAAATGTTTTCAAATCAAACTTACCATTAATAAGTTCTTAACTGTAAATTGTCATATGACACCTTTGCTATGCAGTTTCGTTCTTGTTTTTTTTTTAGGCGCACAATAACCATTTATTGTCCCAGTTGGATTCTGACACTTTTTTTCTTATTACATTTAAATTCTATTTGCAATATTTAAAAAAAACTTCTGAATCCCTAATGAAATAATAAAGTTAAAAAAAATTTAAACTGATTTTTAAAAGGTTACTAAAAAAATTATTATTTATTACTTGAAAAAAAAAATACAAACGCAAACGACGCACAAAGCACCACAAAAAAAAGAACAAAATTAAAAAAGTCAAATTCCACTTGACGTTTTATTTTTCAGATGCCAAAATAATTGGGGTTACCAATTTTCAATAATTTTTTTTTGTTTGGTTTTTTCTATTTTGTGGTTTGTTTGATTTTTTCTATGCAACTTGTAACTTACTGCATTTTTTTTTTTAATCTGGAAAAAAAAATATCAATATTATTATTATTGAAAGAACTGATTAGCGCTAAAAGAATTTTTAAAAACTTTATTTAATTATGTGTAAATCAAATCTGACGTCAAAATATGTTTTATATTTTATTGGAAATTACTTATCGAATATTCAAAATATTTTTTGTTGTTGAAATAATTTAAAATATTTAGTAATCAATTTGTTACTAAAATTCTGTCATTATTTGCTACAAAATTTGCTTTCAATCAGTTCTGTACATTCATATATACATATATACATATATATACGTAACCTCTCAGATGCAGTCGACTTATCATATGTGCGCATAGTAAGTTTACTCTATTTTAATTGCGGTTTAATTTAACACTCAGTTGCTTTTCATCTACACCGAATACTTGTCAGCTGTTTTTTTTGTGTAGTATAAAGTCGTAAAATTATGTATGTGTAAATAATTAAAGATTGTTACGTTGTAAAATGAAATTGACATTTTCATTGAATTTATTATAATTTATTTGATTTATTAGATTAATAATTTGTTAACAAATTATTATTATAATAATAAGAAAAAATCATGATAAAATTATTAAAATAAATATTTGAAGAAAAAAAAGTTCTATTTAAATAAAACGTAGTTTATTTCGCTAGTAGAAAATCTTTTTCTACTTCGATTCTGTTATCATTTTATAAAATATAGAAAACTAACAGTAAATGCCATGTCACGAAAAATATAAACTCAACTCATGCAACTGACCTTTGAATTCGACCATGATGTAACAAATTCAGTTGGTGAAAAGAAAAGTGCTGCTCCACAAACCATTGGTTTGACCCAACTTTATTAAGATTATTTATATACGGTGAAAACAAATACAAAGAGAGTAACAATTCTAAAATTCATAAAAAAACTCGTTATGTTGTATTAAAAATCTAAAGTACTTCCCGTTAAAGTTTACTACGAAAAGAAAATGTCAATAAATTAAAAAATTAACTAACGAAACTCGAGCCAATCTAATCTAGAGAGCAATCTAAAAAGTTATGCCTAGAATTAAGGTTTGACATATTCTTTGATCATTATTCTTGTTTATTTTGATTAAGTGCTATATATAAGTATGTATTTTATAAACCTATTAAAAAAGAGGGCGGTTCTCTAGTAATTAAAACGTAAATGTAAATATTTTCATAAGTGCTAATTGCTATAAATCAATAAAAGTTATGAATAGTTGCATTTTTTCATATCAATTATTTTTGTTTAGATTTTCTCACGCCCAAATTACAACATTTTTAATTAAAAATGCATATCTTAGATTATAATGTTCTATCAATATTCAATACTATCGTAAAATAAAAACAGTGGTATTTTCAACCTTTCACTAACATTTTAATTCATAGAAATATTGTGAAAAAGCTGTTTAATAGAATGAAAATAGAATAATTTTGCAAAATGTAGAAAAATAAAAATAATTAAATCCAATTAAATGGAAAATAATTCCATTTTTATTTTATCAATATAATTTTTATATACGTACAATATTTTATTAACTAGAACCCAAAAAAACATTAGAAATTTTAATAAAAAAATTTTCATAAAAAATTAAATATTAAAAAATTCTATTTTGTATTAGCGATACCGACACTTTGTTAACTATGCATGAGGCATTAAAGTGATTTAACACGCAATTTTTATGTTTAAATTAAAAGATTTATTACCCATTCATATTTCGATTATAATATTAAGTATGCAGTATAATTTTTCATTTTATTATGGTAACACTATTTTTGAAACAACTATAAACTTAACAACAAACCATAAAATTTATGACATTTTTTTTTCATCTAAACTTTGACATTTTTCATGAGCGTCGCTAGATAAAACGTTTACATGTTATAATTTAAAAAAGGAATTTTGTTGGGATAAAATTAATAAAAGCAAAACATAGAAAATTTATAATTTTAATCTATTATCTACCTGTTTCGTAATCATAATATTTAACTATAATTTTCAACGTCACAATCTATCCTGCATACAATTTTTTTAATATGACCAGCATCAGACCAACTCTATTTAATATCATGCTATAATGTGTTTATAAGCATTTTCGCGCGATTAACTAGATGTGTATATGTTGCTTATACTGGCATGCAGTGTATAATATGTTTTATTAGAAGGTGTGTGTGCATACAGTAAAATTAACACCCGTTCTACCCCTCAGCATGGGGTAATCGAAATATCACGCAATATATTATTCATGACAACTCCTTTTTTTCTATTTTTTCCTAACAGTTTTATGTGTCAACGCGAATAAAAGATATGATTGTTAATTTTTGTTTTATGAATTTTGTATAATAATGGAAGTTTAACAAACAAAAAAAAAAACAAAACTGTTAGAAAAATTCCAAGGTAAAATGCGGTCAATTAAAAATTTTTGGTATTTTTTTTTCAATTTTATGTTATTTAAATTGAATAATTAAAGAAACAAAAAATTCTTATTGGAAGGAACAATAAAAACTGTTAAAATGAGATCAATTATGTAATCTACAATAGTATATATTCAATTTTATAATGTTAAATCAAAAATTTTAGTTTTAATTCATATTCAGATTGTTTCTACCGTTGTGTATTTGGTGTTAAATATTATGTCAATTCACACAATTTCGTATTAAGTGAAGTAATAATGTTTTTTGTCATTGTGAAAATATAGCTTTCTGTATTATTTATTACTTAGGCATTACAATACCTCAAAATCTCCCTTTAAATCTAAATCTGATGGGTTTTTTAGATTTAATGAAAAACACAAAAAAAGATGTAAATTCACCTACATATGTAAATTTTCGAATTAGGTAGCCAATTTTATAAGCCCAAAAACGTCGTTCGGTCGCAACTAAATTACAGAAGGTTAGGAAGCAGAATAAGTCAATTTAACGTTGACAAGTAATTGTAAAAACAAAACCACAGCGATGAACGGTAACTGCAGAAGATTTTCGTTATTGAACAAGAGCAACAGCGAAAGGGCCAAATTAACTGTTCAGTATTTTCCATATAATGTCATACACACATGGAAAGAGATGATTTCCAAAAAAAACGCTAGGCGTTAAAATAGAATTTTAGGCTTCTCTACCGCCGTCACAATATGAATTTTGACATTTCGATGCGGAAAATCGAAATTCTGTTTTCTACTTAAAAAGGAACGAATTAGTGTCAAAAATAGAACACGAAAAATCAAACAACAAAAAATTTAACTATTATAAACATAGCTCAGTATTATTTATTACATATTATGAGATATCGTTCGTAATACCTATACTTATTTCTCTAGACGTGCTCTAGAATAACATTAAATAGTTAACGGTAAGGTAAGTACTATTTTATATGTAATACTGTGTAGTAGATTTTAATTTTTTAGTTAGAATTATATTAGCACCCTTACATAATAATTGCATAATACCGTTTCATTTTTTTATTTTTTTTTGTAGAACCGTTGGTTAATTTTTTTTTTTATATTTTTACGTAAAACTCGATTTATTGTATATAAGAATTTATTGCAGATTGATAAAAAAATGGCAAGTAAACCACCACACCTTAATTTTATAAATTTCCAATTTGAGTCATTTTTTTTTATTCGTTTGTTTGATTTTGATATGAAATTATTTAAAAATAACAGTTACAATTGTTAAAAGACAGTTATTAAAATAAAAGGAGAAAAAAAAAATTATGAAATGCTGTTTTGTTTTTTCTTTTTAACATAGAGTCAATATTAATGTATAACACATTTACCGTTTCTGTTATTTTTGTTTTTCTTAACCTTCGATCATAATTAAATACAAAATTACACATGAATTTATGTATTGTTTTACATTATTCATAAGTATGAAGTAATGGGTGATTTGTTTTAGATTTTTAATGTTTGTTGTCTTTATTTTTATCTAATCAGACATGATTACTGAACTTATTACTCGCTTGCTATATCACCTTAGAAAGAACATCGTTCAAAAGGTATTTGGAAAGTTATTCAAAAATATTAATTAAGAATTTTTTGGTTAACAATTAAGTTCGGGAGTTGCCGAGTTCATGAAATATCTTATTTATAACGAACTGTGCTTTTCATAATTTATTTCTACCTCAGTACTAAATGTGTAGTATGTTTGGCAATGAAGTACTGCAAATGCTGTCAAAAAAAAATATGTTTGTTAATGCGACTATTATTTTTGTAGTTTGTTTTTAGAACTACAACTGCAAGCTAAGATTTTTAAAAAATACGCGCAACAACTCAGTTTTGATTTTACCGCTGCGGAAAGTACTTTGTACTTTGAAAAAAATAATAATGTCGGATTTACAGAATTTATTTGAATAAGTTTCTTTAAAATTTTGTTATTATTTTAATAAAAAATTTAAATTTATATTTCAGAGAACTGGAAATAATACAATTTATTTAAAATTTTATTTTGTGACTTCATTTTTGAAACATTAAAAAGTATACATATGACAACTTTCGCAAAGAACTTTCTCAGCTGAATGCACAGCTGAACTTTCAATGAGAGCTTTCACAGCTGGAATAAGTTTTTTTTTATGCTAATGTCAAATTTTTACAGCTGCGTCTTTCTGTTGCCTAAGGTATTTTAAAGTTAGAAAACTTTCGGTATTTAATGCAGATTTGGGATAAAAAAATTACGTTAAATCGATACAAAATTTTCTGAGTGAAATGTGAGGAAAGGTCACTGGCTA